ATATGCTGCAATGTCTTTACTTAATTGTTGAAAAGACGTATGCTGTTTGTGCTATTTGGCTATTAAGAACAATGCAGCCATGCTGAGGGTGTATGTTGCTTGGTGGTAGAGAGCTTGTTTAGCATGTGCTTGGCTTTAGGGCCAGTCTGCAGTAATGCAATCCAAACAAATAAAAAGCCCAACACAGTATGCTGTAAACCTGTGTCAGCTTGTTGAATACTTGTTTTTAATTCTTTGCGGTATATATCTTAATATTGGAGTTGGTGGATCATGTGATAATTTTAGGTTTAACTTTTTAAGGAGCTACCAATATTTTCCAGAGCAGTTGAATCACATTACATCCTACTAGTGGCATACCGAGTTTCTGATTTCTCTAAAGCTTTGACAGTACTTGTTATTTTCTGTAGCTTTGAGGTTCCTGGTAGTGTTAGAAGTGGTATAGTTGGGTTGTTTTGTTTTGTTTTTTTGTTTTGTACTGGGATCGAACTTGGGCCCTTTCACTTGCAAGGCAGGCAGTGAAACCAATTAGCCAAATCCCTGACCTTTTTTTTTTTTAACTTCTTTCTCTGCTGCTGGTTTATTTTTCATACAAATTTTGTATCTATTGTTCTTGCTGAATTCATGTGATAGTTCCAATAGTTTATTTATTGGATATTTTTGCCTATATTTTAATTTGTTGATTTCCAAGTGCTTTCATATTCGTCTTTTTAAAACAGTTATTGTAAGGATGCAATATTTTTGCAAATGGCTCAGATATTTATTAAGGCTTTAAATTCTCTAAAATTTTAAGATGCTCTAAATCTTAAGTTTATTTTCACTTTGGTTCTTTTGTACGTATTTCTTGAATAGTGATCCTTGGTAATCTCTCATGTATGAAGGATTAGGATGTTTGGTTTTGGTAGGTAATCTTTATGGATGTTGGAGCATCCGTGGTTAGTCCTGCTTATGTCTCTTTTGTCCCTAGCACCTATCTGCATGCACATTTGGATACTAAGCCTGGAGTCAGAATTTGTACAGGAAGTAAGACTCATAAGTGATTCTCCTGTTCTTTGAGCAGTATTTTAATTACCTTTATTTCATGAGAGCTTGTTTGGAGGTTCTAGCAGGGCAGCACAGCTACTTGTATACCCTTGACCAAGGAAACAGTCCTCCTCTGTCAGAGGTGGTTGGTCCTCTTCGACCAAGCATGCAGGTTTGGGAGGGATGCACATGGAGCAGTGAGGGAGGGAAGGGGACACCCACCTAGCCAGCCAGATCAGCTGAATCAACTTTGGCGATCAGTGGGGTGATGGATGTCGCAGCCAGATTGCCCTCACATCCGTAAAATTACCTTTATTTCTTAATCAAGTTTCTTTGTTCTGATTTTGGGGGTTTTTTTCTAGGCTTTAGGGGACTGGTGAAGGGAGCTGTTGCTTCTTTATAGTAGTCCTTTATTAAATATGTTGCTTGGGATGCTCATTCTGCTATGGCTTCTCTGTCTTTAGCCTCAGTTTTTCTTGTAGGAATTCTCCACTTCATTTTCTATGCCAATCCCTTTTTGCTTGTTTAATGGAATTATTTCTTATTTTCAGATTGTTAGAGATTTTTTAATTATGACAAAATGTGGACATATAGCACATGGATCTACTTTTCAGTATAAATAAGACAAACATATTAAAACTTATTATCTTTTCACGCATCTCAATATTCTGTTCTGTGTGTGTGCATTTCTAGAGTACAGAGCATTGTTTCCATTGCGATTTTTATTCTTATGTAGTAGCATACTGCATTCATCTTTTTGGTTATTCTTCATTCATTGTGGTTTTTGTTTATTTTGTTAGTGTGGCTTTTCTACGGTTTCAGTGGAATTTGAGTAGAGAGCATAAGTTGTCCTGTGTATTTCTTACTATGTCTTTATAAAAAGGGAGATTTAAACACCTTTTGAATGTACTGTCACTGTCTGGCATGTAGGAGAAAGGACTTGGTGTGTTACCTCTTCTTGTTTCAACTGGTGATGATAGGTGAATATGACACCTAGCAATGTTACGCAAGTAGGCAATTGAGTCTTACTGCTGACCTGCATTTGGTGGTATAAATTCTTTTGGGGACAGAGAAACACCATTCAGTTGTGTTCAGGGTTTAGCAGTGCTTGCATAAAGATTTGGGTATTGCAGGAAGGAATTTTAGTACAAACTGTACTAAAGAAACATTGGCCCAGAAAGGTGAGTTACTTTGCTGAAGTGAAAGGAAAAACACAAGGTTAGAATAACATTTTCTGTTCTTTCTACTTTATAATATTGAACCAGAGGTCAGCGTCCTCTGTTGATGATGCTTATGTTGATTTTTGCCTTCCTTTTAAAATGTTTACTGTATATGAATACCAAGAAATTTTTACTAAGCATGAACATAAATCCTTGGACTAATACTTTATTTGTCATGTTTTCTTAGGGTCAAAATGGTTTCAATCCCTGAATACTATGAAGGAAAGAATGTTCTTCTGACAGGAGCTACTGGTTTTCTAGGAAAGGTGCTTCTGGAAAAGTTGCTGAGATCTTGTCCTAAGGTGAATTCCGTGTATGTTTTGGTGAGGCAGAAAGCTGGACAGACACCCCAGGAACGAGTGGAAGAAGTCCTTAGTGGCAAGGTAAGTGGAGAATGATCATTTGCAGAGGAGAAAAAGTATGTGCTTTTACCAGTAATAATGGTAAGCATTACAAACTTAATTCCTCAACTTAATTAAGTTGGTATAGGATGGAATCAATCAGAAAAAAAATAAAACTTTTTTCTCATGGGTAAAATTTTCTCATAAGTTTTAAATTACTTTTATGGTAGATACTTAAACTGTGTTTTCAGGGCACACGAGGCAGGTTATTTGTCTTTAGTAGTTTAGTCTTCAGATAATAATTAGATAGTTTTGAATTACCTGATGTGATTTGATAACACTTAAATTTATAAGGACTAAATTGCTCTTTATTAACAGTATAAGGAGGTAGAGAAATCATATTTGAAAGTCAGTATTTGAAAGATGATAGAGGTCATACAGGATGTCATATATTTTTGAGTCTTTAGAAGAATGTTGCTAAGAAAAACTAGAAATGAGCCAGAGTAAAATTATTTCACAATCATAGTATGCTTGTGAATTCTCTCGATTGAATTTATATGGCATTCATTGATTCTAAATTTGGATTGGAAAACTCTTAAGTTTGATTTTGGTACACTGCAGGCATCTCAAAAAGGAATTTCCATTATAGCATTTATTTTTTAATAAGAAGGGTACTCCCATGAGTATCTAAATTTTTATAGGCCTGTTAATAAAAACCCAAAACTGTAGAAAATCTCTCTAGAGCAACCTCAGACTTTTCATTTTGAATGAATTACAGAGTTTTTTGTATTGGAACTAATTGTCCTGTCACATTAACCAATCTTTGACATTGTGTGGTAGATACTCCTCATAATGTTGGTTTTATTTAAACCTAGAATTTGAGAGTATTTCTCACAAATTTAGAAATTATCTTTATATTTTTTAATTACACAAATCAGTGCCATATTAGACTCCCTTAACTGTGTAATTTTTTAAAAAAAATTCTTTGTTGAATCCTTTTGGGAATCCTTTACTTCCCTTAAAACCTATAAAAAAAACTAGGCCAATGATTTAGCTCAGTGGCTCCACCACTCCCTCTCAAGAGCAAGGTCCTGAGTTTGATCCCCCCAAAATATAAAAAACTCAAAGTAGAAATAAAAATAAAAGACAGACAGTAGAAAACAGGGAAATATTTTGTAAGTATGAAGAGGATTAAGAGAAGTTGAGGGTGGGGGACCTAAAAAGACATGTACCAACTACCTACGCTGAATATACTACAAAGGTATACTTTTAAAAACAGAACAAAACAAAAACCCTAGGAGAAAGGAGTCATTGAGGAGGCTCTACGACCACCAGGGCTTTTCTAAGTAAAAATGCCTGCGTCTCAGTTTTTTTGCTTTCTCTGCCCAAGTCAATTTTATCTTAAACCACTGATGAGGATGTGTTTTAACGCCTGCCTCCCAACATCTCATTCTGCCAGAGGGATTCAATTTCATTTATTTTTAAGAAAACATTTATTATACCTATTTAGTCTTGGGCATTTGACTTGACACACAGGGCATTGAATTCAGGGATAAATGAGAGGGAATCTTTGCTTCCTGGAAAAATTTTTAGGAGGGAGAAGGGAAGGAAGGAAATGTAGACGTGTTGAGAGGGACCTGGACAGCAGCAGTTGGTGAAATTGATGGCTTGGTGTAGGAATGGAGTGCTTGAAATACTCTTGGTGTAGGAATTGAGGGCTTGAATATTCTTGGTTTAGGAATGGAGGGCCAGAGTAATCTTGGTTAGGAATAGAAGACCTGAATAATCTTAGTGTAGGAATGAAGGGCTTGAGTGAAATGTCAGAGTTGAGCATCTCCTCTGGGATGTCTAGGACAGTGCTTCTAAAGTTTCCTTCACAATAAGTCTAATTTGTAAAGAAAATGAGTATTTTTGTACTCGGAGTCTAAAATTTTAATGAACATGTGATCATTATTTTCAGTATAAAAATGTTTTGTCCCCAAATACTTGACTAAAATTGATAACACCTTGTTATGGTTTAGATCTAAAAGTGTTCTTCCAAAGTCTCATATTCAGAGCTCTAACCTCATCAATAGATTAACCCACTAATGAGCTCATGGATGAATAGGCTATTAAGAAGTGTTTCTTAATTGGAGAAAATAGTTCACTGGGGGCATGGGTCACTAGGAGCATGCTTTTGAAGGGACTTTCTTTTCTCTGACTATTTATTGCGCTCTCTGCTTCCTGGCTGCTGTGAGATGAGCTGCTTTGCTCCACTCCCTTCCATCATGATGTTTCTGCCTTGGAGCCAGATGACCATGGACTGAATCGTCTGAAACTAAGCCAAAAGTAAACCTTTAAACTGTGTATGTCAGATATTTTGACCCAGTATCTTTGTATTTTATACAATACAAAAGTAACTAATTTACTTGTGTCTCCAGTTTCCTCCTGCCATATTCCACCACTTAATCCTGGGGCCACTTTTTCCCCATGTATACCATTGCTGGTGAATCAATGAAAATGAGTCCTTTTTGTGTCAGGTAGCATTGAGTATGTAGTTTAACTCCTACTTTGAACATAGGCAAAAAATACATACCATAAACATTAACTTGTAGCAAGGTTTCTCAGCTTCAGCAATATTGACATTTTGGGCTGAGAAGTTTTTTACTGTAGGGGCTATCCTATGTATTTTCCTGGCCTCTACCACTAGGTACTATTTCATTGTTGTGACTAGAAAAAATGTTTCCAGATGTTGCCAGATGTCTCTGGAGACCAAAATACCCATACTTGAGAACTGCAGATGCATGAAAATGTCTCAGGGAAAAGAAACTTCATTGGATGGTAGGAACTGAATCAAGGTCATTGATACTGGGGTAAGGTGCATGTAGCTCATTGGTTGTGCTCTTGCCTAGTATGTGCAGAGCCCTGGATTTGATACCTAGCACCACAAAATACAATACAATAGTTGATCATGAAGTAAAGTATGGAAAAGCAATAAAGTATATTCAAAAGACATCAGTGAACTTAATAAAATAGGAAGTAGAGTCCTGGTGAACTAGAACCACTGGGATGGTAGTAGAAAATGAAGTGCATGATTGTGTATATCCTAGTGGTAGTGGCCATCGACAATCGGTAGAATGAAGTGTGACTCCAAAGTGTTAGTACTCTTCTGGTCATTCCTTAGGTTCCTTTTTCTCTGCTTGTACCTTAAATATTAATATTCTTCAGGTTTCTGGCCTAAGCCTTGATCTCTTCTTAATAGGCCCAGTGAGGTGGTCACTCAGCACTCTGTGAGTTAAATGGTTATATTTTAAACTGGATTTGAAAGTAGTTTCATACAGTTTTGATTTTGCTCATTTTGTTTCTATCTGGGTGATCTCTTCGCTTCTCAGGGCTTCAGTTAATGCTGCTGTGTGTTTGTTATTAAAACCTGTATCACCTCTGACTCTCTCCCCATTGAACTCAAGACCCATGAAGCCAATACCTCTGCAATGGCATTTAGGCACTTTACACTCAGCACTCACAGACTGAATTCCTGTCTTCAAAACTTTTTCTTTCCAGTGTTTTGCATAATCGAAGTTTTTAAACTTAACAAATATTTATCAAATCTGTGCCTTTTCTATGTACTTTGCTATTTAGGGCCTGTGTACTGAGCAAAACAGCAGTCCCTATTCTCTTGCAGTTTACATTTCTTTTTTTTTTGGTGCTGGGGATCGAACTCAGGTCCTTGTGCTTGCAAGGCAGGCGCCAGAACCTCTGTGCTAAATCCCCGGCCCCTGCAGTTTACTTTTCTTATCCCTCAAATCTAGTCATTGGCCAACTCCAGTTGATGTTACCTCCCAAATCTTTCTAAAAAAATTTTTTTTTCATTCTATTCTGGAACACTGATTTTCTGCTTTATAATTTCAGGGCCTTTTCTCCCTCACTTTTGTTCCCAGTGCTCACATACACACATGCATGTGTTATTTGTCCCTCAGATCTCTCCTTGAGAAGTTGTGTGTGGCCTTACTGAGGTGTGTTAAGCATGTGTCCCATGCAGTCTCATAGCACTGTATTATTAATGTTTTATTATTTATACCACTATATTGTAATTGTCCATTTACTTGTCTAGTTTTTAGTACTAGATTGTAAACAATTTGAAGGGAAAGTCCATTTCCTTATTTTCTCACAATATAAAAGGTACCTGACTAATATGAAATACTTAGGAATTTTTTAAAATTAAGACACTAATTTTTAAGTAACTAGGAATAGTGGAAGGAGAGGCTATTGAATATGAAAGTTGTTTAGGAAAATGAAAGTGGGCATTGTTTGTAATATATAGACATTCTTCCCAGGTTAAAAATCTTCTTAAAACTTCAAACATGTGCTGTAATTGGAGTGGTGAATTATAGTGTGATCATAGGTAGCATAGGTGTTGCTCTATTATGTCTGGCATTAAAAACTAAAGCTTTATTCATACTCAATGTGCCTTTGCACTTTAATTATCTTGTGATCCAATTGGTTATCCAGCAAAATGTATTCCTTTGGCTATAAAAAATGTTGCAGTTTCAGTCTAAATCCTATATATATATTTTCCAAAGTTTGTCTAATTTCTAGTCTATATATTTGCTTCCCAACTTTTAAAAAATTTGTTCTAAGATTTTAGGTTGAATGTGAATGATAGTACTTAATTCTACTGAACAGGTATAAAACAAATGAAATGAAGTGATAAATTAAGTTCTGGATTTTAGAAATCTGAATGATCCTTTTAAAACATGTCTTGATGCATTGCTTAAGTCTACTCTGAGGAATAATCTAATTAACCAAAGTGTTGACCTCTTTGAATCTTAGATTCTATATCTCTAAAATGGGGATGATAATATAAGCCCCATAGGATATTTTCTTAATAATAGCAACTTCAGGAAATATATAGTATAAGTTGTTAAAATATCATCTTTGGTGGGGAAAAGGGTTTATAGTGAGTTTTAGAAAATGGAAAAATATTATCCTAAAATAAGCATTTCTCCTCTCTGATAGCTCTTTGACAGACTGAGAGATGAAAATCCAGATTTTAGAGAGAAAATTGTAGCAATCAACAGTGAACTCACCCAGCCTAAACTGGCTCTTAGTGAAGAAGATGAAGAGGTCATCATAGATTCTACCAATATTATATTTCACTGTGCAGCTACAGTACGGTTTAATGAAAATTTAAGGTAGGTTCAAGTATTTTTGTAATATTTGAACTTATTTTTAATCAAATTGTTTTGAAAGTGATTGAAATTGATTGTTTTTTATATATGCTAATTGTGGATTTCAGTGTTCTATAGAATGTTAAAAGTATCAGTTTAAAAACATAGGATAACTTTGTGTGTTTACTGCAAGTGCTTTTCATGAATTTAAAAGTGAGACAGAGAAAGCCCCAAAATGGAGAAGAAGTTTTGTATGGTGGGCACACTCATAATCCCAGAGTACTTGGGAGGCTGAGGCAAGAGAATTGCCTGTTTGAGGCCAACCTGGCCTTAGTTGGTTCACCAGCATGGAACACAGTGAGACCCTGTATCAACAAACAAAGAAATAAAATAATTGGAGAAGATTAAAAACACTGCCTTGGTAGCAATTAGGAGCAAGCTACGTTGGATGTAAGTTTAATTTAGAAAATACTTTGGACTTCAGTATGCTTCTTTCAAGAAAAGAAATAACAGTGTAAGTTCATTATTTAAAAAAAAATACAATGATAATGCATTTAGAATAATAGTTCTTAGTTCAGTGTATTCTTTTTGATTGTTTATCCGAAAATAGAGGGTTTATGATATTTGTCTAATTTATAGTCTTATGACAGTTAAAATAGTATAGCTTTCTTTTAAGGTTTTAAAACTATATGAAGGGCTTCTTTTTAAAATGTTTAAATTATTATAATTACAAAGGACTGTGGTATTTTTTGCCATATCATCTTATCAGCCTAACATTACATATATGAGAGTTTGTAATGCCAGAGCATTACAGCGGGTTTTGCCCCTATTTCTAGTGAGGGCACTGTGAAGTCCCTTATATTTCTGCAGCAGTGTTTTCATGCATTATGTTATTCCATGCTAATCTTGTCCAGTGTAAAATAGCCAAATCCATTTTACACTTAAGAAGCTGAGGCAGCGCTGTATTGGAAAGAGAAAGAGCTTGGAAACTATCCTAGTTCTCCTCTTGATTTATTTATTGGCTGATGAGTTCAGGCAAGTTATTAACTTCTTTAAGTTTCCTCATCTATAAAATTAATACAGTATTTCTCAAAAGATTTTTTTCTTCTTTTATAAGTTTTAATGATGTGTCAGCTTGCTAATTTACCAAATAAAATTTGAACATGTAGCAGTTGTTTTATTTCCCTTTTGGTTCTTTCTGTGCAGCCAACAAGTAAAGTAAATACCATGCAGCAATTATGTGTTCATGATTCGAAGGCGATGAAAGAATGTTATAGAACTATATAGTATCTTATTTTCACAAAATATGTATTATGTCTGTATTTATATGTTTTTCTATATTTGCTAATGTTTTTAGATGATGTACTTACAGATGGTTTTTAGTTTTATCTGTATATATTCTACCATGAACACATATTAATCTTCAAATAAAAATGTTTACAAATACTTTTTAAACAATATTTTCAGAGCAACACTTAAATCTTAAAGGATTGATATTCTCATCAACTAATAAAACTTTTTAAATTTTCCATTTAAAGTTTCTTTTCATGTATGTTTTTGCATATAAATCTAAATTCATTTTAACTAATATTTCCAAGATTGTAAATGTAGTCCCTAGTTTTTGGTGCTTTATCATTCCCAAAATTCATTGTATAACATAATTATTCTAACATATTTTTCTTCCATGGTTCTGACCTTCAATTTCTCAGTAACTAAGAGAGTTCACAAAGCTCTATTAAACTTTTATGTTTTCAGGACAAAAATGTATATGGATAATGTTACAGTCTTAATTGTTGTAGTCTTCATTGACTTAAAGGGAGAAATCAGATAGTTCTAAAGGGAAATTTGATTTGTTAACAGACAGAATTAATGAGGGTAAATCTCATCAACATAACATTTACAAAGAGGGCATTTCTCTTTTTTGTTTCCCTGGGATAAAGGAGGCTACCATAAATAAAAAGGACATCTTTTCATCATTGTTCTATATTCTTATACTAGAGAGTCTGTAGTAGACAGGGTCAATACTGTATTTTTCTCTTCTTGTCAGGGTATATGTATCCATTGAATATTCACAGACTAAGCCGTAGTCATCACATCAGAATTATTTCTGTGCAGCAATGTTAATAGATGTTGATATCTAAATGGTGATAGGACATTAGATTTGAACCAAACCTTCTAAAATACTAGCTGTGGCACTATAGTGGCCTCTTAAAAAATAATTATTCCTTATAACTATTTGTTAAATTAATCCACAAATATAAAATTGCACAGAGCTTTTAGTTGCAAGGAGGAAGAATACATTATGCTTTGGTATCTTGGGGAGAAACCAAGATGTAGCTGTATATAGACCCTATTTACCAACTCCATATAGTCTATTAGAGGAGATAGGAAATGGTTAAATAACTAGCATAGAGGTTAGAAAACAATGTGGTATGTTCATACATCAAGTGCTATGAAAATTGAGAGCATATAGTTTTAGATAAGGTTCCTAAATCTTGAGATGGGAAAAAATTGATAGGAAGATTAGTTAGGAGTATAGTACTTTTGTAACCACTGTCCCCACAGTGAGCTTTAGAGACATCTTTAAAATTACAGATATCTAAGTCCTCTATTCTAAGATTGATTTCCTTGGTTGCCAAATGTGATTGTATTAAGATTTTAAAAAATGGCCATTATAGTAGTGATACAGGCTCACCTAGGCATTGTTTTCTCAGGGGTAAGATGAGGTAAAAAGAGATTTGTATCAAAATGGTTCAAGGAACTTACTTAAAATGCATTTGAACAAGCTTTATTTCAAACATTAAAAATATCTGAGGATGAGGTTTAGGAGCCTGTATCTTTAATACAATCTCAGTTGTATGTTATGCCAGTTATGAAAGTGCTGGTTTGAGGATTTTAGAAGTATTATGTAGATTTTGAAGAACCCTAAATGTTTTGTAAGATTGGTAAATGAGAAAATTTATTGGCAGTTCAAATTGAACATTGTCTTTTTTCTTTCCGAAGTGGTTTCTCTGTCTATATATAATGAAAGACCACAGTTGCAAAGATTTGCTCATTTTCCACCCCTTTCCTAAAAGCCTGTTTTTAGCATTTGTGGCTCCGTTATAGTTAAAACATAATGAAACATTCTTGTTTAGTACTAAGTACTATGTCAGGTCAAACATGACAGGGTCTCAGCCTGAAGTTCAGCAAAATAGGAATTGGGTTGGGGTAGAATAGCCTGACAGAGAGATACCTAGAGTTACCTTACAGTGGCATGAAATAGTTTCAGGTTGAGCTCTTCAAGTAGGGTGGAGGGAGGCAGGACACAGGAACCTGTGCCTGTGGAGTTATTCCTTTCAATGACCCAGAAACACTGAAACCACTCTCAGAAGCAAGTAACAGAATATCCAGAACATTACTCTCTACACCCATTGTTTTGCAAATGAAAAAGAAAACAGCACATTCCCTACTAGTCCAGTGGATAGTATCCTCTCTGTGAAATGACTTTCTGGCTAGATTTCCATTTGAATAGATTTGTTTGCCCTCAGTTGAGATAAGGAAAAACCCCATGATTAAAAGATTCCACTCCAATTTCATTAAAATTTTGTTATTTTCATAATCTCTAAATATATATATATAAATAAGGCATAGGTGTCCCCTCTCCCCTTTTATGAATTTTTCCTTGTTTCTGGGGACCCAGAACTTTTTATCCTGTCCCCAGGAACTTGTAACAAAATACTCTCTATATACCTGTCCCCAAACAGTAGTGTTCTCATTCCTGTTTTGAAAACAAGGTAGATATCAAAGCACTGCTTTATAGTCAAGTGGATTGGAATATACAAATGACAGTATAGCAAAGAATAGTTGGCTTTTTTTCCTTCTAAATACCAACAATTATTTTGCAAAGTTTATGTTATTTTTAATTCTTTCTGAATATTTTATATTTTTATAAACATGGACTTTCTAATTTTACTTTTAAAATTTAGTGTAGAAACAATTTTCTTATTTCTAATTTTATGACTAATTTTAGTGATTTGATGACATTCTGTCATTGATACAGTATGTGATTCATTTCATATAATGAATTTAAGGAATTTTAATTTTTTTTTCTAAAAAAGTAAAGAGAACAGTTTTTTTCTGTAATTTCTCAACTTCTGGTTCTTCTAATTTCTTTTTGAACGGTTGTGTTGACTTTTAGTGTAAATACAGTTGTAAATACTGTGTTGGTTTTAGCACTGGTATTATCTCATTCCCCCCTTTAGTTTTTAATTGGCAAAATTGTATATGTCATGTACAACCTGTTTTGAGCTAATAATGTATTAACCTCACATACTGGTTTTGAGGGGATGAGAACTCCTAAAATCTACTCTCAGTGACTTTGACAAATACATTGTTAGTGATTATCATCATGTAGACCTTTGGATCAAACATTTTTTTTAAAAGCTATAAGCAAAATTCAATAGAAAACAAAAACTACCCAACATTTATTACCTTAATATTTATTGGCTGCTTGTTGTGAGACTACATTAGGAAAAGTACAGAATGCTTGCAAGCTATTTGTTTTATTTAATTTTATATAAGTGTAGTAGGTAGATTCCATTGTTGTTTCCTTTTACAGGTGAAGAAATCTTTACAGGAGAAGCCTGAGTGCTTGAGTGACTTTTCATCTTAGCTGATAGGGGGGCCAAGCCAAGATTTGAGCCCAGTCTGATTCCAGAGCTTTGTTCTCCATCCTGCTTCATGTGATAATATGTGCTTTTTGTATTCATACAGATTGTTCTTATGGTCTTCATATGATTGATTCTATTAAAGGCTATATTCTTTAATTGTGATAAAACGCTGTACTTGCTTTATTGAACTATTCCATTAATAATGAATATTTGGACTCTGTAGGCTTTATTAATAGAAGGTGCTTCATTGATTTCTTCCCTGCAAAATATACTTTTGCTTTTGTGGAATTATTCACTGAAATTCTGAAAAGGGAAATATATAGATCATTTTGGAATCTTGCTATGCCTGTTACAAGAAAGTTTTATCATAATATTCCTTTGAATTTTTAAGGTATTCTTAAAATTATTTGTATTATTATTATTACAGAGAGGGAAATAGACGTTCTTTTTTGATAATATAGTAATGTTTCTGAACTCTCACTTTTTTTTCTGCTATTGGGGATTGAGCTTGGGACCTTGCGCTTGAGAGGCGGGCAGCAGCACCATTGAGCTAAATCCCCAGCCCTTTTGAACTCTCTCTGAATTATATATTAATATAATTTAACATTTCTGAGTTTTATTTGGCAATTATACTTTTACAGGTAACTAACTGTACCTCAGCATTTTAAAATTACTCAGCCATTTGAGTTTTTTCTACTTGCCCATATCATGAAAGATAAAACGTTTAGAAACCAAGATGCAGAGGATGTTTAGGATGAGTTCACAGTGTATACAGAAAAGCCAAAGACTGAAATGATCTGAATATATTTTGGGCAATTATTTTTAATGTGTACTTTTACTTCTCAACCCTGCAGTGCAGTTTATTTTATAATCACAAAATTTCTTTTAGAACCTAGAAGTAGAATGAATGTACTTTGTACTGAAATAAAATATATAAAATACCTAAAGAATCAGAAGTCTATTTTTGTGTCTGTGTACCTCCTTAATGAAAAAAAAATTTTGTTAAACAAAATAAGTAACATAGATTTCCAGTATTTCATTGTCACTTTCTTTTACAGAGATGCTGTTCAGTTAAATGTAATTGCTACGCGACAGCTTATTCTCCTTGCACAACAAATGAAGAATCTGGAAGTGTTCATGCATGTCTCAACAGCATATGCCTACTGCAATCGAAAGCATATTGATGAAGTAGTCTATCCACCTCCTGTAGATCCCAAGAAGCTGATTGATTCTTTAGAGTATGTTTGTTTAAAATGTATATACGTTGCTTTAATCCCAAGGTTTATTTTTTCCTCTTTTTCTCTCCTTCATACACTTGCACATACACATGTGTACATTTATTTCTTCCTTTATTCAACAAATAATTGCATATCTGCAAAATTTTTTATTATATAGATTTATGTAAGTGGTGAAGTCAGTGTGGAACTTCATACTTACTCATGTATAATGGTTAGACAGAGGCCTCTGATCAGTTCATCCATCATCCTAGGGGTTCTGCTTTTCAGGTAATCAGTCCTAGTAAACCAAAGGTACCTCTGGAAATCAGTTTTGGTCTGTTTAATAACAAGGTTCCAATTAACTAAAGGCTACAAACATCTTCCCTTCTTTTCCCCTCCATATAATGGAGTATATCAGTGATGGCGAACCTTTTAGATCTTTCAATGATAGCAAATAGCTAGCTGCAGCATGCATGCCATAGGTTCACCTCCACTAGAGTATATATAGGATAGTCTTTAATTATTAAGGAATCAGAGGAGTCATCATCCTTTAATTCATACTCCCTAGGATTTTGCTTACCATCTTGCTCAGGTGTGGGATCCTATCAGTAATTATTACATGAATATTTTTAAGTACATGATGGATGTGTATTAAGTGAAATATGCATATACCATGGGCTAATTCTTACTTCAGCTTATGTGTTCTTATCAAGTGCAATAAACAAGATCAGAATCTTTTTTCTTGTATAGACAACAGTTATAGAAACATTCCAACATCCATCTTCACATACTTGTTAATCTTGATATAATATCTGAGCTTTTGTATCTGTTCATCTGTCCTTAGCCTTCTTTTATCTATTCACTTTTGACTCCTTAATCACCATCCCTTTTTTCTTCTAAAATAAGCACACAGTCTTTGTTTTTAAGGCTTTCCTGCCAATCATTCTGAGGAAACAGGAAAATTAATAAGCATAAGAATTTAGTGAGACATTCTTTGAATAATGCTGAATCTATCTTAGGACTCAGGAACTGGTTGTAGTCAAAAGTGTCCACTATCTGGGAAAAATTGATTATGGAAGTTAATGAGACATACTACTTTTTTTCTTGTTACTGGTGTATATAAACATCTAAGGTATTGAGAAATAACTTGTAAGCTAATTTTTTTCACCTTTCCTTGCTAGCATAGTTTTGTGATAACTCATGGGTTTGCTCATGGTCATAAGGCTAACTTGCTAAAATCTATGCTCTAGTTCTGTAGAGTTGCTATGTACCCCTTATTAACTATCCCTGTTTTCAGTTTTTTATTTGTTTTTTTTTTGAGACAAAGTCCTGCTTTGTAGTCCAGGCTGTCGTTGAACTCACTGTGTAGTCCAGGTTGGCCTCAGCTGCTGGGATCCTCACGCCTCCACATTCTGAATGCTAGGGTTACAGACTTGTGGCACCAGGCCCAGCAAACTCCCAGTTTTCAAAACTCATCTCCATTGTGGAATTTTTCCTAAGTTGGATAGCAGTCTCCCTTCATTTTAATTAATGTTCTTTTCCTTCCACCTATTAGAAGTACTTCTGTCTTTTTCTTTTTTCTTTTTTTTTGAGGTTATTGGTACAATCTAGGTATACAAATACAGTTACATTCATCATTGGGATTCTGTGCCTTTACATAATAGATCTCTTCTCATTTTCTTTTTTTTTGAGGTTATTGGTACAATCTAGGTATACAAATACAGTTACATTCATCATTGGGATTCTGTGCCTTTACATAATAGGTCTTGATTCTCATTTTTCCCCTTGTCCCTGCCCTCCCTTCACCCCCTCCTCCCCTCCTCATTTACAAACACTTTATTTCCATTTTTTCAGTTTCTCATATTTTTTTCCTCTCCCTTATTACGTTTCCCCCACCCTTCCCACTTTTCTTACACCTTTAGCCCTTTACTTCTTATTTCACATTATTAATAGAAGTACTGCTGAATACAGAAGAAAATTTGTCTTGATCATCTCCATGTTATGTGTCCTTATCAGTGTGTATATCATTAGAATGTAACAGTAATGAGTCCACTTTTATGCCCAGCATAGACAAAAAGGAAAAAAAAAAAACCCTACAAGCAAGTATGTAACATATAAGAATCAGAAATTTACATCAGGAAACACTATAGACATAACTAGTTTATCACATTACTTTTGCAGATGATCTGAGTAGACCATTTGTTTTCAGAGATACTGAGAGAATTGGAGGAATTTTGTGACTTCAGAGTAGGTTAATTGAATTTTCATAGCATGTTTCAATACATTTTCATTGTTTATTCTAGTACTTAATAATATTGTGAGGACTTATAGTTTTAGTGCTTCTTCATCTTAAGTGTTTAGATTATTTGATCATTGTTAATGTATGTGAATTGCAAATGTATATAATTAACATGATACTCTGTTAGGTGCTTATGTACAGTCTATACATAATTCTTAATTTGAAACATTTGAGGCCAGTTACATTTTAGAACGTATTTGGGTCTTAAGAAAGAAAATACAATTTATGTGTTGTCTGATATAACGCAATTTCACTTTGGTCTGGGGTAGCATTCTTGATCAAACATATATGAAATATATGTTTTGGTTTTTTTTTAGGAGAAAGCTGCTTTTAATTGAAAAATAAAGTCATTTTAAATAAGATTGTAACAAGAAAAATCAGATATGTTTGAATGTTCAAAGTTCACCTTAATAGTTTTATTCTTTAGTAAAATACCTGGAAATATTTTCATATGCCATTTCTTTGTTTACAGATGGATGGATGATGGCCTAGTAAATGATATCACACCAAAATTAATAGGCGACAGACCTAATACATACATATACACAAAAGCTTTGGCAGAATATGTTGTACAGCAAGAAGGAGCAAAGCTAAATGTGGCAATTGTAAGGCCGTCAATTGTTGGTGCCAGTTGGAAAGAACCTTTTCCTGTAAGTTGTTAGAAAGTTTTATAAATAATTGGAACTGAGGATTTTAAGCCATACTATATTTTCATTACCAAAAAGAGGCCCTTCTAGAGGTAGATTTCACAAAATAAGCAAGGTACAAGAGATTTCTATGATAATTTGCTGTTACAGTATTTGTAAATCCCTAGAATAAAATAAGCCACATATATAAAATAAAAGATAAATTGATTTAGGAGCAACATAGATCTATGTGGTGGTACTGATAACATCTCTTTTTGCTTGGATAATTACTCTATATTCCTGTTTTACTCAGTAAATTTCTAATTAGGGTGCTGCATTAGTAAATAGCATAAAATCAAAATGGAACAGAACGGTCTTAAGTTAGTACAATTAAATATACACTCCTTTTTATTAAATACCCTTTGTAGAGAAATAATGGAAAAATAACCCTTGGAAATATTTTACTTAGCTATTTAGTATCCCAGAGGAAGGTGACTTCTATTTGGGCTGGGGACAATATTCTGACTGAGTGTAGATATTTTAGTTTTTGAAAGAAAATTATGAAGTATCTGTTTGGAGTTACAGATTTCAAATAATCTCTAGGTCATATTTCTAAGCTCCCTTCATTCTCCTTTTAATTTTTGGCATTAGGGATGGATTGATAACTTTAATGGACCAAGTGGTCTCTTTATTGCGGTAAGTAAATTTTTTGATTTACTTAATATCCTTTGTTTTTTCTGTTTTCTTTAGTTCTTTTTAAATTAAATACACACACACACACACACACACACACACACACATACTTTGGCTTATATTATCTTACGGTGTTGTTTTTAATTTCAACAAAGGCAGGGAAAGGAATTCTTCGAACAATGCGTGCCTCCAACAACGCCCTTGCAGATCTCGTTCCTGTAGATGTAGTTGTCAACACAAGTCTTGCGGCAGCCTGGTATTCTGGAGTTAATAGGTACATGAGATGATAATGTTGCTTATTAAATATGTAATAACTGTAAGGGAAATTTGAACAACTAACGTTAATTCCTTAGTCCTGATACTGCCATACCAATATGTAGTCAGTATCACTGTCAACTGCAGAGGTTAAGCATGGGGCAGTAGACCAGCAATAGCAGTGAAAAATTAATATTAATCCTCATGTGCATTTTACAGAATATATAAATTCATTAGTGATTATTAGTAAGGGAGAAAAGCCCACCCCAAAGATGTTATTTTAATCCCAACTAAAATCTGGTTTAAGTTTGACATAAAGAGTTGAAATTCAGAGGATGGTTTGTATATCTCAGACCTGGCCCTGAAGAATAGCTTTAATCAGTGCATGAACATCCCTTGAAAAGGCAATAGTAGCATTTACAGGGAACTCCTAAATTTTAAGGTTCCTATTAAATTATTTTTTCAGAGTTAAAGTCAGTACTTTATATCCTTTAAAAGGGAAGAATATGATTATATAAATATGTTGTTTTGGCAAAAGGGAATTTAATCCACAATTTTTTTTCAGCTTGAGCCTGTGAAAATAAGACAGAGCTAAGATTGATTGTTACTGTTTTCCTTACTTTTAAAAACAAGATATTCCTACTAATACAAGGGAAAAATGTGAGAAGAAAATTTATATTTATTTATAATTTTGGAGGGTAGAAGGAATAT